TACTCGGGGAGAACGTCATCAGGGGGAGGGGGGTAAGGGAGGTGACAGGAGGTCCGCGCGGTCACAGTGAGAACAAGAACCCCATCCTCTGGATAGTGGGAATAACAACAATCCCATCCTTTGGATATGGGGAACAACAAACCCGTCTTAGGATATAGGGAACAGAACATAGCTTAGCATACCATAGCATAACTTCATCATCACTCCTCATCTGCATCATCATCGTCATCATCATACTCAGGAAGAGCGTCATCAGGGGAAGGAGGAGAAGGGAGGTGACAGGAAGGTCCGCGCGGTCACAGTAATGACAAGACTCCCATCCTTTGCATATGGGACATATCACGAACCCCATCGTTTGACTATGAGGAACAAGACCACCGTCTTAGGATATGGGAATAACATCATAGACCATACCATAACATAACATGGCATAACACAACATGATCATCACCATCATCGTCATCACCATCACCATCACCATCACCATCACCATCATCATCATCATCATCATCATCACCATCATCATCATTCCCATCTGCACCATCATCGCCATCATCATACTCAGGGATAATGTCATCAGGGGGAGGGGGAGAAGGGAGGCGGCAGGAAGGTCCGCGCGGTCACAGTAATTGCAATAACCCCATCCTTTGGATATGGGCGATAACAAGAAACCCATACTTTGGATCTGGGAAATAACAAATAACAAGAACCCCATCCTTGCCTTTGAACATGGGGAATAGCAGGAAACCCATCCTTGGGACATGGGGAACAACATGGTCTCTCACGCCTGGAAGCCTGAATCTCGAGGGAGTCTCAAGCGGGAGCCCCCTCTCTATCGGGCCCGCGCTTCATGTTGGCAATCCGCAGCAGCCATCGGACAACTGATGACATTGGGGAAGTCTCGAGCGGGACCCACCCCACATGGGGCCCGCACTTCGCGAGAAAGTCTCGAGCGGGAGCTCCGTCCGTGAGCGAATCGTGCAGAAGTCTCGAGCGGGGGGGCCCTCCCCATACAATGGGGCCCGCACATCATGCGATGACTCTCTTGCACGGGGTGCCTAGAGCTCCGACCACTTTTCTTCTCTTGCGCTGAATGTCTAGAGCTCCGACCACTTTATCTCGGCACGGCACCCCTGCCATCGCCCACGCATTCCACTGGCCAGCGCGCCCCCTCCGCCCCGACTCCTTTATTTCGGCACGGCGCACCCCCTCCACGCCCCCTCCGCGCCCCCCCACCCGCCAGCCAGCGCGCCCCTCCGCCCCGACCCACTCATTTCGGCACGGCACACCCCTCCGCCCCGACCCCTTTATTTCGGCACGGCACACCCCCTCCGCATCCCCCCCTCCCACCAGCCAGCGCGACCCTCCGCCCCGATCCCTGTACTTCAGCACGGCACAGCCCTCCATCCCGACCCCTTCATCCCGGCACGGCACACCGCCTCCGCATCCCACCGCCCACCAGCCAGCGCGCCCCCGCCCGGACCCCCATATTTCGGCAGGCACACCCCCTCCGCATCCCCCCGCCCACCAGCCAGCGCCCCTCCGCCCCGACCCTTCTTTTCAGCACGGCACACCCCTCCGCCCTGATACCTTTATTTCGGCACGGCACACCGCCCCGCATCCCCCACCCACCATCCAGCGCCCCTCCGCCCCGACCCTTTTATTTCGCCGGCACACCCCTCCCCCCATCCCCCCCGCCCAGCCAGCGCGCCCCCTCCGCCCGACCCTTTTATTCCGGTGCGCCCCCCCCCCCCCCCGGCGGCGCCCCCTCCGCCCCGACGTCTTTATTTCGGCACGGCGCACCCCTCCGCCCCGACCTTTTTATTTCGGCACGGCGCGCCCCGCCCGCGCCCCCCCGCCCGCCAGCCAGCGCGACCTCCGCCCGGGCACTTTTATTTTGGCACGGCGCACTTCTCCGCCCCGACTTCTTATTTCCGGCACGGCACGCCCCCTCCGCATTCCCCCCCTCGCCCGCCAGCCAGCGCGCCCCTCCGCCCCGACCCCTCTATCTCGGCACGGCGCGCCCGTCCGCCCCAACAACTTTATTTCGGCACGGCGCGTCCCCTCCGCATCCCCCACCCGCCAGCCAGCGTGCCTCCCCGCCCCGACCCTTTTTATTTCGGCACGGCGCCCCCCCTGCATCCCCACCCAGCCAGCGCACCCCCTCCGCCCCGACCTTTTGATTTCGGCACGCTCCCCCCCCCTCCCGCGCGCCCCCTCCGCCCCGGCCATTTTATGTTTGCACGGCACACCCCTCCGCCCCGACGCCAATCTTACGGCGCGGCACACCGCCTCCGCATCCCCCCCCGCCCGCCAGCCAGCGCGCCCTCCGCCCCGACACCTTTATTTCGGCACGGCACATCTCTCTGCCCCGACTTCTTTGTTTCGGCACGGCGCACCCCCTTCCGCATCCCCCCCGCCCACCAGCCAGCGCGCCCCTCCGCCCCGATCCCGTATTCCCCGTCATTATTGTTTTCGTGCACAGGGTGGCTAGAACTCCGACCATTTTATTCCACGTCGCCCCCCCCCCCCCCCGCGCCCCAGCGCCAGAGTGGGACCCCCGCGCCGTGGATCTCTGCCCCGAGACCCCCGCGTCCCCAGCGCCACAGCGGGAGCCCCGCCCACTGCCCCCTCCGCCACGAACGCTTTATCCCGCGTCGCACCCCCCTCCCCCTCTCCCCGCGTCCCCAGCGCCAGAGTGGGACCCCCGCGCCGTGGCTCTCTGCCCCGAGCCCCCGCGTCCCCAGCGCCACAGCGGGAGCCCCGCCCACTGCCCCCTCCGCCACGAAATCTTTATTCCGCGTCGCACCCCACCCCCGCGTCCCCAGCGCCAGAGCGGGACCCCCGCGCCGTGGCTCCCTGCCCCGAACCAGCGGGGGCCCCGCCCACTGCCCCCTCCGCGACGAACGCTTTATTCCGCGTCGCGACGCACGCCACCTCCCCCAACTCCCTCCCCGCGTCCCCAGCGCCCCAGTGGGGGCTCCGCCACGTGCCGCCTCGGCCCCGACAATTTTATTCCGTGTCGCGACGCACGCCAACTCCCCCCCTTCCCCCCCCGGTCCCTAGCGCCCCAGTCTGGTTGGACCCCCGCCCCGTGGCCCTCTGCCCCAAGCCACGCCCAATGCCCCCTCCGCCCCGACCATTTTACTCCGCGTCGCGACGCACGCCCCCCCCCCTCCTCTCCGCGCACCCAGCGCCCCAGTGGGACCTCCGCCCCGTGCCCCCTTCGCTCCGAGCACTTTATTCCGCGTCGCGACGCACGCCACCTCCCCCCCCCTCCCCACCTGGGATTTGGGCCCAGTTGTTGGGCCCCGAGGGGCGATGTCTTGCCCCCTCTTCCCCCCTCCTCCTCCTCCACCTCCTCCTCCTCCCCCTTCCTTTTTGCGCAAGAGCGATGGCGCACGTGCCACTTGTTCCGCGTCGCACCCCCCACCCGTGTCCCCAGCGCCAGAGTGGGACCCCGGCGCCGTGGCTCTCTGCCCCGAGCCCCCCCGCGTCCCCAGCGCACCAGCGGGGGCCCCGCCCACTGCCCCCTCCGCCACGAACGCTTTATTCCGCGTCGCGACGCACGCCACCTCCCCCACCTCCCTCCCCGCGTCCCCATCGCCCCAGTGGGGGCTCCGCTCCGTGCCCCCTCCGCCCCGACAATTTTGTCCCGCGGCGCGACGCACACCACCTCCCCCCCTTTCCCCCCCGTCCCCAGCGCCCCAGTTGGACCCCCGCCCCGTGGCCCTCTGCCCCAAGCCCCGCCCAGTGCCTCCTCCGCCCCGACCATTTTATTCCGCGTCGCGACGCACACCACCTCCCCTCCCCTCCTCTCCGCGCCCCCAACGCCCCAATGGGACCTCCGCCCCGTGCCCCCTTCGCTCCGAGCACTTTATTCCGCGTCGCGACGCATGCCACCTCCCCCCCCCTCCCCACCTGGGATTTGGGCCCAGTTGCTGGGCCCCGAGGGGCGATGTCTTGCCCCCTCTTCCCCCCTCCTCCTCCTCCACCTCCTCCTCCTCCTCCCCCTTCCTTTTTGTGCAAGAGCCATGGCACACGTGCCACTTGTTCCGCGGCGGCCATCTGCAAACCTGTAGGTGTAAGCACTTTTGGGCTCCTGGGGCCTGAAGCTTCAAGATGTCTCGGGTGGGAGCCTCGTCCGTGAGTGAGGTCCGGGGGTCTCGAGCGGGACCCCCCTCCCCCTGGGGCCCGCCCTTCATGCTAGAAATCTGAGGCGGCCATCGCAAACACGTGCCTGTCATCGCGCCTGAAGCCTGAGGGAATCTCGAGCGGGAGTCCCGTTTGTGACTACATCGCGAAGAAGTCTCGAGCCGGAACCCTCTCCCTGTGCGGCCCGCACACAACGAATGCTACTACTCCGAGGCGGTCATTTCTATCCCTGTAGCCGTCGTCGCTCTTGGGCCCCCGAAGTCTCGAGTAGGAGGGCAGGAGCGAGTAGAAGCAGGAGGAGGAGGACGAGGAGGGCGAGGAGAAGGGGGAAGATACGAAGGGGGGTTGGGAGGACGAGGAGGGTGAGGAGAAGAGGGAGGATACGAACGGGGAAGATGGAGGAAGGGGGGGAGGACAGGAAGGAGGCGACGACGATCATGAGGTTGAGGAGCTTCAACAGGACGTGCGCATGCCGTTAGAAGCAGCAGCGGCGCCAATGAAAATAGACTGGCGCGTCCCGGGAGGAGGTGAGGGAGGACGAGCAGAAGGTGGGGGGATGCGGAGGAGGAGGTGGCAGAAGGAAGAGGCAGGGATAAGATAGGAGGATGTGAAGGAGGAGGAGGAGGAGGAGGAGGAGGAGGGGGCCGGACTAGGGCCTCTGTGATCTGTGATCACAGGGACGACGACGGGGACTAAAGCAATTTAAACATAGTGTCATGTGGGACCCTGCCGTCGAAATGATTCACACATCGGGACAGCATCGTTGGAAGTCTAGGGTGGAAATGGGTCTTTGACCCAACACTCGTCACCCCGCGCTGCTGCGTTGGCACGGTTGCGGGGCTTGCCGCAGGCAGCAGGATAAAGACCGCGTCGGCGTCGGAGGCCTGAAGCATGTCGAGCTGGTTCACGAGCAGCCTCAATTTCGCCCCCGTGGGGTCCGGGTGCTCGCTCGACAGCCACGGGTGCGACAGCACGAACCTATGTTTGTCGGCGCGCGCGAGAGGGGGTGGCGCGAGAGGGGGGGGGCCTTCCAGGAAGGCGGCGAGCTGCTTCGAAGGCAGGGGCCCTTTTTTTAGAGGCGCGGGAGGCCTCTGAGACGGTGCCTCAGAGAAGCCTCGAGGCCCTTTCTAGTACCCTTGTCAAAATTAATGTCAAAAAGGGCGACCACGCCCCTGCGATGTCGGCGCGCACTTCAATGTCGATAGACGCCCCTCCAATGTCGGGGCCAGGACAAAAGTGGTCTGACCGGGAACGACTGGGAAGTTCGATGATGACCGACATTGGAGGGGCGGCGCACACAAGTACCTCGCAGCCACTGCTGCTCTGTCCAGACTCTCCCCACAGACAGTTCAGCAACGTAAGACATTTTTGATGCCAAGTTTGACGAGGGTTGCAGGAGGGCCCCCCTGGCCTTCCAGGAAGCCCTCCATCGCCTTCCCAGAAGGCCGACCCCCCCCCCTCGCGCTGCCCCGCTGCTGGTGCGCGCCGCCGGCCTGTGCTTCGGCCCGTCCCGCAGAAGCGGGAAGCCACTGCTGCCGACGATCGCCTGGTAGCCTGGCACCTCATACAGGGGGCCCTGGGACACTCGAATGAATAGGCACACATCCCAGGATTCACCCTATTCTCCCACATTTGCTGGGTTCTCGTCTTCCCCCCCCCCCGCCCCCTTTCCACAAGCTATCTTCCCACATTCTCCTGGGAGTCGGCGATGAATTGTGTCTGCGTGTTTTTGTCCCCTCCTGGCACCTCCTGGTACCGCGGCATAGCCTTCCCAGCCGCAGCCAATCGGCGCAGGTAGCCGCAGAACACCCACTTCACCCGCGCCCGGTCGAGGTCCGAAGGACAGAAAGCCGCACGCACACACACGCACGCACGTCCCGCAGAAGCGGGAAGCCACTGCTGCCGACGATCGCCTGGTAGCCTGGCACCTCATACAGGGGGCCCTGGGACACTCGAATGAATAGGCACACATCCCAGGATTCACCCTATTCTCCCACATTTGCTGGGTTCTCGTCTTCCCCCCCCCCCGCCCCCTTTCCACAAGCTATCTTCCCACATTCTCCTGGGAGTCGGCGATGAATTGTGTCTGCGTGTTTTTGTCCCCTCCTGGCACCTCCTGGTACCGCGGCATAGCCTTCCCAGCCGCAGCCAATCGGCGCAGGTAGCCGCAGAACACCCACTTCACCCGCGCCCGGTCGAGGTCCGAAGGACAGAAAGCCGCACGCACACACACGCACGCACGCACGCACGCACGCACGCACGCACGCACGCGCACACGCACGCACGGACGCACGCGCACGCGCGCACGCGCACGCGCGCACGCGCACGCGCACGCGCACGCGCGCACGCGCACGCGCACGCGCACGCGCACACGCGCACGC